TATATTTATTACTGGTTAGAACTGATAACCATATTTGTTTCAGTATGCCGGGCTGAGATTTGGTCTAGCAGGTCACATATTAGCCACAATACTGGCCAAAGGTCTAGCATATCACTTACTTGTATAATTATATCAAATAGCACTTCGGTCCAGAACATCACAAAGTAGTACAAATATACCAGGGAGACTATTGGTCTAGTTATTACAGATACTTTTGCATACCTGTATGGAAATATTTGGGTATTTCTTGGTATATATAGCCACTGCCGGAACGAGTCTGCGTGGGTCTAGCTTTGGTTGTTTTAGCCATGAATCAACAGCTAATTGGGGTGCGTTCATCAGCAGTTGCGACGAGAAGTTGTAGTACAGTGATAGATTGGACTGTAGCGCGAGTACCTCTAGAGCGGCCTCGTAGTCATGACACGCGATGTGGTGACTGGGGTGGAACAAATGTAAAATTACCACTTGAAATGGATACGTTACTATTTTCGAATGTGTATTAAAATGTCGCACGTGACTCGTGTGCTATCTGGAGCGCGTTTACGTTTAACATTGGTTGCGGCGGGAAGTTTTATGAAAGCGATGGATTGACTGTAGCGCAAGTACGGCAAGAGCCGATTCGTCGTCGTGACAAGCGATCTAGTGGCCAGAAGTGCTCAGATGGTGAATGGAAGTAGAATGTGTATTGTGTTGAAAACAGGACAGAGCAACCACGCACTCCAAAGAAGTTCCTAAGTAAGTGTAGGTGAAGGAATTATAAAATCCCGTCCTTATGTATTCAACACACTATTTTACTAATTTAGCAAGCACAATCAATAGAATACTTCCTATACACACATTCCTACTACCGAGTCCACAGTACAATTGCCATATGTACAACACTAGCGGAGGACATCCTATACAGCTCTCAGCCACAGCTGACCATCAAGCATAGTGCATAACTAATAGTACAACCATGCCACCACCAACTACACCAATAGTACAACCATGCCACCACCAACTACACCAATAGTACAACCATGCCACCACCAACTACACCTATAGTACAACCATGCCACCACCAACTACACCAATAGTACAACCATGCCACCACTAACTACACCAATAGTACAACCATGCCACCACCAACTACACCAATAGTAAAACCATGCCACCACCAACTACACCAATAGTACAACCATGCCACCACCAACTACACCAATAGTACAACCATGCTACCTCCAACTACACCTATGGTACAACCATGCAACCGCCAGCTACACCAATAGCACAACCATGCCACCTCCAACTACACCAATAGTACAACCATGCCACCACCAACTACACCGCCAACATCATCTTCACACGCCCATTAAACGATCTATTTGAAGCATCTGATAAGGCCCAGACAGCAGACTACTCTGTAGAATATAGCTCAATCGGTGGCTATATGCGTGTTTCAGCCATCCTGCGCTACGCATCCCCTTGCCAATACTGTTATGTTATACTCGCCGTGATAGTGTATCGGGTGACAGGAGATCGAACAGTCGATATGTTGGTACATACGTATGCCAACTAATTTCCACGAACAGTGGATGGGCTGGGATACATATCAATCAAGAGATGTGTAGTTAGGTTGGTCTATTTATAGACCCATGCGCATACCTGACCACCCGCTCGTAGTCTCCCATGTGATTGGCATAGAAGACACCGTCCTCAATGCGGCCATGGCTGCAGATGAGATTATACACTGCGGTGTGGTTCGCGCTGAGGTTCTGCTTCACAACTGGTTTCGTTAGAAATCTGTGAAGGGTTTAGAGTTTAGGGTAGAAAGTTTTATGGGTTTATTGGGAAATGTCGAGATCTTGCAGTGTGCGAGAGGACGTGGTATGAGGAATGTAGAAAAGTTCGTGATGACAAATCGGCAAATGACCCGAGTGACCACGACGCTGGACGCTGCGAAACATTGACTTGAGATGCATACAAGGGCTCTAAAAGATAAAACCCTGCGCTATGTCAACGCCTCCAGCAAGAGGTATGTGGCTGCAACACTTGAAAATACACTCACTGTTGCAGCTTAGGGTTTATGGACACGACCGCAATATACTTATTCATACTTCTCAATGGTTGAACTGATCCACACGTGTTGAAGAACAAGCTTCTAATCCGCGCACTTTGAACAAAACCTCCCAAGTCAATAAGTAATCTGCTATATCCAGAAAGAATGTCACGTTTTATGCATACAAATACATACGTAGATATGGGAAATATATATTTACATGTAATGTAGATATGAGAATGGTAGAAAACAACAAGTATTTCTAAATCCATTCATATTGTTTATCTTGTGCAAAACAAATCCAAACTACAAATTGAATTTTCGATATCTAGGCTAGAACAACACATCAGCTGTCTAGGGAGGAGCTAGCTATAAAACGATTACAGTTGCCCATTGAGAACTTGCAGTGGCTATTACAGTGGGTATAGAAAAGTATAGTGGCCATAGAGACTTATTAAAATCACCTCGGAAATCAAATAATATGCCAACTAGAGATGCAATTCTCATATGATATAAACATTTATGTGTACTTAACATCTATCTACGTAAACAAATATACAGTATATTAATTAACTATAAATCAACTCCGACCGTGGACAAACCAAAATGCCAACTAGAGATGCAATTTTCATATTATATAAGCATATATATGCATACCAAACGTCTATTTACGTATACGAAGATACGACGCATGCTTCAACCATATATCAACATCGACCGTAGAGCCAACGTCTTGCACAGCAGCTATCGCCCTCTATCTTTATCTCTGTCAGTTCCCTAATCTCCGGTGTCATTCACCACACTCACACACACACCGCTGCACTTACTGTCTCAGCTGACTTTGCAATTGGGTGTCGTCGTCGCCGCGGTCAACACACCGATCGAGCTGACTCAGATACAGTTCGATTAACCACATGGTTAGCATGGTAGCCTGGGCTTTCTGGTCTGGCTTGAGATTGTCGAGCCGTCGGCTGATGTACTCCTTTGCGGTCAAACGGTGGCGATGCCATACAGAGATATTTTTAATAATGGATATATAGACAGACGTTAGTACTGTAACCCTGGACACATACTATACTATCAACGGTGGCGTATGAAGTGATTGTACCACTGCGGCCAGTTGGGGATCTGCTTTTAAACAATGACCAATCATATGGGATATTTACCGTGGTTCTTAACCCACGCTGACAGTATAGCCTTACAATCTCAGGAGCTAGCGCCGATTGCAATACACAACTGTTGGCAGCCGACCAGATCACACCAAGGATATCGCCATGGACACACACCCCCACCGGTGCTATAGTCAGATATCGCCACACAACTAAATAGCAGCCGGCCATATCAAACCAGTGGCATAACGTTAGATAAAACACAGACTACAAGCGTGCCGCAGTTCGAGTGAGGGTTCGTGGTGCACGCATATACTTCGTATATATCGTCTCTAGGTATAGCATGTGTATATAATAGACAGAAATACTACGACAACCGCACCTGCAAAGCCTCGTACTGATCGATATCCATGAGCTTGAGCGCAATCTCCTCCAGCGCCACATGGCTGCTTTTGGCATAGCTCTGAGCCGCAAGTATGTACTTGCACTGATCAAAGTAGTAGTTGCCTTGTTGGCTGTGGATGTAATCTGTGATCTCCGGCTTGTCCCGACTGTATTCCAGAGCCGTGGCGAATTGGTTGCGCGCAAGGTATATCTTCCACACACTCCTGAGAATATAACAGGGCAGGGCAGCCCCAGTCCAAGAATGGTGGGGTTAAATGGGTTGAGAAAGCCGCACACGGCCCGATTGAAACAGAGCAGCCACAGTCAAAAGATGTAGGGTTTAAATTAGTCAGGAAGCGGTACACGCCCCGATTGAACAGGGCAGCCCCAGTCAAAACATGTAGGGTTTAAATTAGTCAGGAAGCGGTACACACTCCGATTGAAACAGGGCAGCCACAGTCAAAACATGTAGGGAGTATATTAGTCAGGAAGTATAACACACTCCGATTGAAACAGGGCTGCCACAGTCAATAGATGTAGGAATTAAAATAGTCAGGAAGCGGTACACGCTCTGATTGAATAGGGCAGCCCCAGTCAAAAGATGTAGGGTTTAAATTAGTCATGAAGCGGTACACACTCCAATTGAAACAGGGCAGCCCCAGTCAAAACATGTAGGGTTTAAATTAGTCAGGAAGGGGTACACGCCCCGATTGAAACAGGGCAGCCCCAATCAAAAGATGTAGGGTTTATCCTAGTGAGAAAAGGGTCAGTGTATGTTGGCGAGGAATAGGGTTGATCCCATGCAAGCACACACATGATCTATACGGAGCTGCAACATGGGTCAGTCATCAATGGCCTAGAGGGCGGTCCAATCGTCAACGTTGAGTGCGTACTTTAGTATATCACCGCGCCCGTTCGTTGCGCAACAGCTAGTGCCATCACCCCACCCAGCCACGTGTAGTATATGTCTGTCGAAAACCCTAAAAACCCGACATCACGCACAGGCCCAGCCAGACGCCCGTACTCGTTCACGGCGCAGGCTACAATGCCGGCCATCCCTGGATTTGCTCTCCCTCTCTCACACACACAAACACATGTACTACGCATGCACCTAAGGTACACACTCACTCTCCCACACACACGAACACAAGTACTACAAATGCACCTAAGGCACACACTCACTCTCCCACACACCGTGTCTCATCGTTGAACAACAGCTCGTGTATGCCATCCGGCCCAAACACCCATATGGTGTCCTTCTCTACATCGCGTGTAAGCCCGGTCAGGCGCCCATACTCGCTCTGGGCGTAGGTTGTGGTGTAGACTACTTCCTGATCCAGCACACAGTAGACGGTCACGCGGTTGTCCGAGTCCAACCGGATCACATGGAACTCAGTCAGTGCAAAGCTGGACGGGATGGTGCGGGTGATGCGTGGTGAAGCGCTGGTGTTGCGGCGCTCCTGAGTGACAGAGGATGAGAGCGGGTTTAAGGTTCTAACTTCTAGGGTTCTGGGGTTTTAGGGTTTGCCATGGCCCTCTTATATACTACCGATTTAGGGTGTAGGGTGTCGGGTGCAAGATTTCAGGGTTTAGGGTCTCAAGTAGTTGTAGAGGCTTAGGGTATTACTGAAGCGTACGAGACTATTGCGTGGAGATACGATGACAATGCGGCAGCCAAGAGTGACAGAAGATGACACAAGGTTTAGTTCTAAGATTCCGATTGTAGGATATCGGAATTACTGGAATGAGGTTCAAGGTGTAGGGCTTGAGGTTTTGGCATCTAAAGGTATAATTTTTAGGGATTGGCAATTGTTGGACTATTGTCTTGGTGTGGGGGTATGCACTGACGTTGTTGAGCTCCTGAATTAGGGTTTCAGGGTATAGAGTTCAGGGTTATACGATATATTGGTTCGTGAAGTTGGCGTTTAGATGGTGCTGCACTTCGGAATTGGGGGTCATCGGTTTAGGGGTATGGACTAGGGTTTTAGGGTTTATTGTTTTTTTGTAATTTGTGTGGGACCATGCACTGCACTTCGAAATTAGGGTTGATAGGTTAGGGGTTAGAGACTAGGGTTTTAAGGGGTGTAGTCTTGAAGTGAGTTTAGGGTTTACTGAATTGTGTGATATGTGTGGGGCAATGCCCTGATGTTGTGGCGCTACTTAATGACAGTGGATGGACATACGATTTAGATTCGTAGGTCTTAGGGTTTTAGGATTTGAATTTTAGGGGTTGTTTAGTAGAACACGTACACGTCAAATATGCACTCCTTGCAGACAGCCGTGCAGGGTAGGTAGGCACTCCACTGCACTTGCGGTGCACTCTGAAACACACTCTGACACACACCATTCCAAACCCACTCATACACACACACCATTCCAAACCCTCTCATACACACACACAACGCCTGGCAAACACGTGAACATGCCAAACACCACCAGAACCAACGCTTGACCTACCGCGGGCTCGCGTTTGTGGTCAAGCGCAATGACCGCAGCGTCACTCCCACACACACTCTCGCCCATAGAATGCGTGCCGAACACGACATTCGCCAGATACACACTCCTGGCTGACACCCAGGCCAGCGAAGTGGGCACTCCACTGTACTTGTAGTGCACCAACAGCGACGATACATTGTATTTGTTGGCGTTCTGGCGCGAGCTAGACGGTGTGGTACTCGTTGAGCCTGGATGGAGTAGGGCTGAGCTTAGTAGCGGTTGCAAGGCCTGGGGCGTGTATGTATCACACAGGGGAGGAGGGCGCATGATTGGGTGTGGTTGAGGTGGGGTCCCTTCTTAATGGCTGCGCTAGTGTCTTTACGCCTGCAGCAGAGCAGGCTGAACTGAGTGATACCCGTAGGCATGTACACTCCACACAAACTATGTTTGATTGTGGTTGTATGTGCGTGGCTGGGTTTGTGTACTTATTTCCCAATACACGGACAGTGTAAGGTATGGCTGTCATTCTTACGATTCTTATGTGTGTATGTGTGTATGTGTGTGCGTGCGTGTGTCGATATTTGTGTGTGTGTAGAGGTATGCATAACATAAATATATAGGTACGTTCAGACAGATAGAACGAAGGCATTGCTTGGGCTACATACCTCGCTTGGGCGATGACGACCCAGAAGCTTCGGTCAGGCTGGAGGCACTCGCACTCTCTACTATCAGTCGGTCTAAACTCGGCGGCATCCGCGTTTTTGTAGGCGATTTGACGCCATCCTAATGTTTAGTGTAGGCATGATTGAAATTGAACAGACAAGGGACAGTGAATGCCAGGAGGACTTCAGGGTTACTCGTATTCTAGAGTGTAGTGAGAAAAGGTTTGGTAGAATGGGTTGTTCGCCTTGCTACGTACTATGTGTGTGGATGTGCTTTGCTTTGGTTTGGATCTAAATGAATGCCCAAGGCATTTTAGAGATACATATATCCTAGAGTGTATCTGAACGCTCCACACAAACACTTGGAATCCTACTAGCGCGCACAAAGCAGTACACTCCGATAGAGCCATTGTCCGGAAGCGTTGTAGGTGCGGTACCCGTGGAACGCAGCCTGATTGCCTTTAGTAGATGTTTTTGTTATGAGCAGTTCGGGTGCATATGCATTGCTTTGTATATCACCATAAGAACATTGCTGAAACTATTTAAGACGTACATGATGCCACGATGTACCCTTTGCCACTATTTCATACGGAGCATCATACCAAGATATGAACATCTCTCAAAGTACACCACGTCAAAACAAGAACACCCTCTACAACTATCAACTTCGTATATCATATAAGAAATGAACAACTCTAAACCTATTATATACGTACACCCGGTGCAGATACATATTTGGTCACTATTATATAAACAGCCTGGCAAGATATGTCTATCTCTGCATCTTCATTTTACGTACCTTTGTCTGTTTAGGTGATGACACTGTTGTAGGCTGATCTGTCTGTAAAGACTTCACCAAATGTTTAGCTTCAACAGTGTGTGGCCCACGACTGATTGATCCGGTACCTGGAGTATACAACATATAAACGACGCGAAAAGCAATATGTGTATTATTGTAACCATGTGTGGCACACGACTGGTTGATCCGGTACCTAAAGTATACGACATAAAAACGACGCCAAAAACAATATGTTTATTATTATGACCTTTGTGTGGCGCACGACTGATCGATCCAGTGCCTGAAATATTCAAACTTGGCACGGGCACAGGAGTGACACATACCTCGCGAACCATGCGCAAGACTGGTCCCTAGGCCTTTCAGAAGGCCCCCGTCTTCCTCCATAAACAGCCGTTTCCAGATGGGCGCGTCTGTGCGTTTGTACCCAATGAACTCGTACATTCTGTTTGCGGTGGTGACCACCAGCAGATACTTTACGTCCTCTGCACCGCTGTGGCTACCCGAGCTGAGTGGGAGAGGGAAGGGTGGGACAAGGGGATAGTATGGGATGTACATGAATAGAAGTCAAGTGTGTAAGATTAGAGCTGGTATGATTTAAAAATAAATGCTGAGTGCGCAATATCACGCACGCGTGTGTGTGAGCTTGTGTTGTGGGGTTTACCAGAGGGTGTGGGATGATGGGTTTGGTATATATGACGGTATATGGATTAATTACGGACGACAAATAACATGCGCATGTGTCATGCTTCAAGGCCTATGACCATGGCTCAGTACGTAATGTACATAGATAGAAATTAAGTGTGTAGGATAAGAGTTAGTGTAAAGTACGTATGAATACATGCTGGGTGCAAAATGGCATGCGCGCGTATGAGGCTGTGCTGTGAGCTCATCCAGTCAGGGGGTGTGGGACGACAGGCTGAGCATAGGTGACGGTATATGATCAAACAAGACCCTAAAACCCTAAAACAAGAGTAGTACAACGCGCACGATACCTGGATTTGGGTGTTATAAGCGCGGGCTGCGATTCATCAGCAAACGCGGACAACATAAGGCCCTTAATGCACTCCTCATTAGGGACCATGTGCACCAGTCGCATGTACTTGTCCACCGAGTTGCCCTGGAAGAACCTTGCCTCCACGGCCTCTATCTCACTCTCGTATACATGGCCTTTGGAAGTGGCTATGAGTGCCTGCACGCCATTGTGTATCTTGGTAGACGGACTGCAATGCGCATTAAATTAATAGGGATGTTAATATAGTACTGTTTATGGTTGTATAGGGAGGGGGGGCGTTGCTAAGTTGATGGATTTGTAAAACCAGCTTCCAATGACATAAGCTCGCGAGACATATATATATATTTTA